TTTAAAATTTAAAATTATGAATAATCACATAAATTATATGTGTTTTAGAGATTTTAATAAACTCTAATAACTTTTATTGTTAAAGAGACTGAATATAAACAATTAACCATACCGCTTGCTCAAGGTCACCTGACAAGTCCATTTTTAGCTCACACTCATCCTCCCTCATTCCAAGTGCCTTGCATATCATTCATGGAATTGGTCATAATTTTAGAATTTAAATATATTAACTATATATATGTTATAAGAAGTATAACAATACTCTGATGGTATCTAGTGACATATTTTATTTTAAAAATAAGTTATTTTAGTAAATATTTAGTGTAACATAGTGTGATTATTCAAAATAACAGATTATATTTTAAATATATTAACTTTAAGGATTTTTTTAATCTCTCCCTAAGGAATAGATTAATGATGTACTAATTAGAACTTTTTACAATTAATTTACATAGAAAAAATAGAAATTGACTATAAATTTATTAATTATGTAATTAAAATTATTCATGTAACACTAATATTAAAAATAATATTTGTTTTTATATTTTTTAAATAAAGATTTATTGTAAAAAACTACCATTAATGTACTTTTAAATACACAAATTAAAAATATCCTCTTTAATAACAATAAAAGTTATTATAATTCTCTGTAATATATATCATTTAAATAATTAATCATAATTTTAAATTATAATATATTAATTTTAACTTAGGCAAAAAAAAAAATTCTTAACCTTAACTAGTCACTAATTATATAAAACTCGTGCATGGGGAAAGAGGGAAAAACCTACTTTTAACCTTTCATTAACCTTTCATCTTGTCAAGTTTGAAAGTTTTAGTCTCTCACCTTATATTATGATATTTTTAGCCCATCTTATAGTATGACACTTTTAGCCCCTCATTTATTAAAATTGAAGAAAATAGCCCTCACTTTGTAACAGTTTGTTAGTTTTGTTAGTTGATTGTTAACTTTATTAATTGATTATTAATTGACTATTAACTTTATTAACTGATTGTTAGTTAACTGTTAACTATCAAAAACCTTCTTTCAACTAACAGAGTTAACAAAACTATAACTGTCAAAAACATTTTTTTAGCTAATAGAGTTAACAAAACTAACTTTATAATATTTCGTTAATTTTGTTAATTGGCTATTAGTTGGCTATTAGTTGACTATTAGTTAATAAAAATTTACTTTCAACTAACAGAATTAACAGTCAGTAAAAGTGAGAGCTATTTTTTTTAATTTTAATAGGTGATGGGTTAAAACCTATAAATCTAGTAAGATGAAGGACTAAAAGTGTCATAATATAAAGTAAGAGGTTAAAACCTTCAAATTTGATAAGGTGAGGGGCTAAATGTATGTTTTTGTCCGGAAAAGAAAGGTGTTACAAAGTGGTCCACTCGCAAATTGTTGAGGTGCAATAATGTGGGGCCAACTGACAATAATTCATCAAAAAAATTTATTAAATTAATGAAAGTAAGTGACAGTGTGAAAATAGTGAGGACAATGTTATGAAAACTTAGAATAGAGAGATGACAATAGTCTGATTTCCAGGACTATAGAGATGACTTTGATGATTTGTGATTAAGTACAAAGAAAATAATGAACGAAAAATCAGAAGTATAGTCGGCTTAGAAACAAAAAACTTTCTAGAAAGGGTATTTTTTGTATTATTTTTTTATATTTAAAAAATAGTATTAAATTTTAATTAATTTTGAATATCAAACTTTTAATATTTGTTTTTTTATTTATAAAATTTGAATTTAAAATTTTATTTAAAAAAACTCAAAGAACAAATGATAAGAGTTTTTTTTTCAATTTTTTGTTTGATTAAATGTTCAACTTTTCTTAAAAAAAGAAAATATTATACAAAAAA